GTCAGAGGACCTTGGTTCAAATCTCCAGTCTGCTACTCACTACCTGAGTGACCTCAGACAAGTCACTTTCCTACTGTCTGGTCCTCAGTTTCCTCATCTGTAAAATAAAGGGCTTGGACCTCCAAAGTTTCTTTGAGCTCCTTATCCTCAGAGCAATGATCTTAATAATTCTGTTTGCCATACTGGAAAGCAACTTCAGTCAAGACAGATCTCTTAAACCAAAGGAGGGTGTATGATATGGTCTCTGTCCATTCCCTGATCTAGACCTTCTGTTCCTCAATTACCTAGAGGTCTAGCCAAGAGTGAAATGGGCAGTAAAAGCAGGAACTGTTTTTTTTGTTTGTTTTTTTGGTTTTTTGGTTTTTTTGTGCCTTGACTGTGTTTATTAATCAGTTAGCTCAATTGAACATTAGCTCTGACACTTAATAAGCAACCATAACTTATCCCATCAGTCCATCTGTGAGACTAAAAGGCCTAGTGTTTTATTTTCATGTAAATTGCTACTTTGTGTGGACCCATGCAAGAAAAAGTTATCAATTACCATTTCAGGTGCAGGGTATCTGATTTGTTTTGTTTGGAAATATATTCATTTTGCTACATTTTTTTTCTTGCTGTCTTTACACAAGTTCTTTCCTTCCACCTCAATCATTGGAAATTTAGTCAAATTCGCCTGCATTTACTAGGATCCATCCCATATAGAATGCACCAAAAATAGGCACCATGGCAAGTTTCTATTAGCAGGTCCTTTGCCTGAGGAGACACACAAAGTAATAAGCGCGTTAATAAAGCAATACTTGAGCAAATTCCAATGTATGTCTGTGAAGAACTCACCATATGATTCTGTAGAACAATCCTTCTATTCAAAAGCACTTTTTAAATGTTTAAAAAAAAAAGAATAAAAATGTTCGGCCCCTTTAAGAGAGAAATTTTGTGCCAGGGTTGTAAAAATTATTGGTACCCTATTTCAGCAGGGAAAGCTTTTTATGGAAATTAAGCATTTATAAAGAAGGAACGGAAGTTAGTTGGACTGAGTGAGTTAAAAGCCTGGTTGCCAAGGAAACCTTGATTCAAAGGAGGCTATGGTGGGATTTGATGCAGACCCAAGTAGCCACCCTATACCAGGGTTTTAGTCCTCTCTGCTTTTTCACTAGGATTCGAGCAATCAAGAAAAGCTGGAGGGAGCATTTTAAAATATAGCATAGTTTAGTGGTGAAAGTATCAGTTTTGGAGGTAGAGGACCTGGTTTGGGAGGGTTTGAACGTGAACAGGGAGAAGTCACAATGTTTGGGAGCCTTGATTTCCCCTTCTGTGAAATACTCATACCAGACGCTGGCCAAGGATGTTGCAAAGGTCCAGTTAGATCACGTAGATAAAGCACTTGGCAGACCTTCAATTGCTATCCAAGTATGAATGACTGTTTTTAGAACCAAGCTACGTGGATCAGGATAAACCAGGAGCAAGACAAAACTCAAGGTCTCCATTAAGGTGCCTGGATAAAGAGGGTACTCCCATGCTAATTATGGGAACTAAAGTTCAGTCACGGCCAACTCTTCATGACCACTTGGACCATAGCACGCCAATATTGTCCATGGGTTTTTTTTGGCAACGATACTAGAATGGTTTGCCGTCTCCTTCTCCAGTGAATTAAGTCAGACAGAGGTTAAATGACTTGCCAAAGGTCACACAGCTAATAAGTGTCTAAGGCCAGATTTGACCTCAGATCTTCCTGACTCAAGGCCCGGTGCTCTATCCACTGAGCCATCTAGTTGTTTCTAAGGGAATTAATACTTTCATTTTAATAAACTTTAAGTTTTTAAGTAATGACTGGAATAAAACTTTCTGTCCTAGCTGTTGTGAGCGATATGCAGCTGCCATGCTCTCAGATACAGTTTCAGGGGGTTTGATGGAGAGACGTGTTACCGTGGATACAACCCCCAAAGGACATCTACAACCGTATACCCTGGGACATCCCTGAGGATATCTGCTGGGGGAACCCAGGACTGAAGCAACTTAAAGCAGGTCATACTTAATCACACACACACACACACACACACACACACACACACACACACACACGGTGATAGAGAGTGATGCTTGCAATAAAACCTAGGGTAGAAGAACAGCATGAATGCCCATGCATGGTTTGTAGGAAAGGAAGGAGCAGTAGCACCAAGCAGGCAGGCAGGCAGGCAGTAAGATGTGAAAGAAAGAACACTGAATTTGGAGTCTGATGCCCTGGGGTGCAATCTTGGTACTGTCCAATGAAGCCAATGGATTCAGTCAAAGGGCCGCACTTGAGGACCTAGAGGGCCACATGTGGCCTCGAGGCCACAGGTTCCTCACCCCTGCCCTAGAGCTCATTCTCTCATAATGTAAATTCCCTTTTAGATCTGAATCCTATAGTTTATTATTTAATTTAATTATTTTAACTTAGTATTTTTGAAAATTATAAGTTGCTTCAAGTAACACACATACCCTGAAAGGGTTCTTCTACTTTTATCTCAGAGTTAAAAACAGACTGAATCTGGGAAAATATGAGTTCAGGTCCCATCTCTGACACATACTATGTGACACTGAACAAATCACTTAACTACTGTCTGCCTCAGTTTTCTCATCTGTAAAATGGGGATGATAATAGCACCTACTTTCCAGGGTTGAAATAATATTTGTAAAGAGCTTAACACAGTGGCTGGCACATAGTAGGTGCTATATCATCATCATCATCATTAATATTATTATTATCATTATTATTATTACTTAACCTCTCAGTGCTGGAGGCAATTAAGAGCACAAATTGCTGAGAAGAAACCAACCTGCACTGACAGAGGCAGTTCCTCATTCAGGAGTTTCCTGTGCCTATGAAATCATGGTCTCTATTGTCATCCTCAGTTATTCAGTATTTTAGTGTGCTGGTGACTTTATTTTCTTTTTCAGCAGCTGGCTGCTCATTTCCTTGTCTTTTCCTTTTTCTTATCTGAGAGGTTATTATCTTCTTTTGTAGCTGTTTGATTCCTCCTTCTTCAACTTCTTTTTGGCAGAGGTAGGGGAGAAGGGGATATTTTAGTTATTCATACAGGGCATGGGATTTTGATGACCCAGCCTCATTCACTGTTTCTCACTTCAGGATCTTGCCAGAACTTTGGGCCCTTCCAAGCTAGACAGGTTTTGAGTATAGGCTTGGATTTCAACTATTTGCTTATTTATTATCTGAGAACCCCCTAGCTAAGCTTAGAAATCTCCATCCTCAAAACATTTACCACCAAGAGATGAACTAACAATGCTGGCCACAGCAACTCATGAAACCATCTACTGAGGTAGAGGGAGGGAAGTTCTGATGTGAGTCAACCCCATTGCAATGATGGATCTTTTGAATATGAAACTGAAAAATATGCATCCCTATAAAGTGATAGCAAACATTACATTCTGTTTGCCATAAATCCCAAAAGGACTCAGTACAGAGGAAAAGAAATTGATTTATTCATTTTCCATACTGAATAAATTCTAAAATATGTCATGAATAATAATATTTTTATGTGTACTGTTCTTTGGTTTTCAAATGACTTTTACATCTGGGAGCTCATTTTATCCTTATTAACAACCTGGGCAGGCCAGGAACCATTATCTGTTTCACAAGATGAAGAAATGATGGTGAGGGGACCACACAGTTAGTGACAGAATAAGGACCCCAGGTCTCCTTTCTCTCTGCCCACTCTTCTTTCCACTAGACTTTGCTGCTTCCATTTTTTTTTTTTAGTGAGGCAATTGGGGTTAAGTGACTTGCCCAGAGTCACACGACCAGGAGGAATTATGTGTCTGAGGCCAGATTTGAACTCAGGTCCTCCTGTCTCCAGGGCTGGTACTCTATTCACTACGCCACCTAGCTGCCCCTCCATTTTTTTTAAATGGCTAGTTTTATTATCTTTTTGGGGGGGGCAGTGTTCCTGACCAAATATTACCTGTGCAGGGAGCTCCCACTAAGAAAACTCCTTCTATCAATGCAGGTCAACAACTGCTCTGAAATTTGTCATTTTAGAAAGTTATCTGGTCTACTGAGGGATAGAGTGACTAACTGATGTCACACTACAGCATGCATCACAAGTGGGACTGGAACTCAGGGTATCTTGACTCTGAGGCCAGCTCTTTATCATTATGCCACACTGACTCTGTTTATTTTCTTATATATCTCATATTAAAGCAGAAACAACTGAAGCCAAAGTCACTTACATCTTGGCAATGGTAGTGGTTCCTCTACCATGGACTTGGCAATTTGTTAAGAATCTAGTCAGAAAAATAGGTGGTATGTCTCAGCCATGAAAAAGGTAGCAGTCAAAGTCAGGCTGGGCATGGGTCAGGACAAATTGTTGGCAGTCAGTCAGGAGGAACAGGGTTAGAGACAGATCTCTTTGAGATGATTCTAGGATCATAAGGACCATAGGATTTAGAGCTAGTAAACACCCTGGAATATTCCAACCCCTTCATATTACAGGTGTGGAGATTGTGGGCCAGAAAGAATGTGTCCTCTGTACTGTGTCCCCTGGGAATTTAGGGCAAACAGAATGTAATGTTTGCCATCACTTTATAGTGATGCATATTTTTCAATTCCATATTTAAAAGATCCAGAATTTCACTGGAGTTGACACTCATCAGAACCATCCTCTCTCCACCTTAGTAGATGAATTTATAAGTTTCTGTGGCCAGCATAATTGTTTTATTTCCTGTTGGCTTATATTTTGGGGATAGGGCTTAGCTAGGGGGTCTTCAGATAATAAGCAAATAATTGAAATCCAAACCAAAATCAAAAGGTTTTTAGTTCACAAAACAAACCAGATCTGAAACAAAGAGAAAAGTTAATAAGAACCAATGCAGGGTCCAACAAAACTAACAATTTTCTGAAAGAAAGTTTTCTTGTCCCTTCCCAAGGTCTTTCTGCCCCATTTCTGTTTTTAAACACACCTGTCCACTCCAGCTAAGCCAACTCCAACGGAAAGAAAAGCCATCACTGTTTTAATGAGGTTTAATTACCTGCAAAGGGACACATCTTCTTTTCCTTCATGTCTGAGTACTTCACAAAATTAAAAACATGGACAATACACCTACATACTAGGGGTGCTCTTTGCCACCTCCACCTACAGTCAAGCAAATCACACAGAGATTTGTTCCCAACAGATGGCTGCAGTACACATACAGAGCAGGGGTACAAGTTTACCTGCACTGTCTTAGAACAATATGTCAGTCCAAGGTGGCTTCACACCTATGCAGAAAAAAAAAAAGAATAAAACTTTAATTGAGACAGAATTGCATCTTTCAGAACAATCTCTCCAGTAAAAAAAAAAACAAAAACAAAAACAAAAACAAACAGAAATAAAGATCAAACTGGCTGAAGTCCACTCTGCAAAATAAAGTTTTTTTTTTAAAGAAGAAAATATCAATCTTTTTTGCTTTTTTGATCATCTCTCTATCTCTATCTCTATCCTCACTCCCTTTCTCTCTTTTCTCCTCTTCCTTTTCTTTCTCATATAAGTAAAATCAATTCTTGGAAAACAAGTTAAGCCTTTAGGGAGTACCTTGGTCAACTTTCTGAATTTTCCAAAGAATAAATCTGATACAGACTCTTTCTCATCAAAAAGTTATCAGTAACCCAGAGCCTTCAGAAACCTTGGTAATTCCGACTATTTGTTCCTTTGTAGATTTAAGGGTGAGGGAAAGTGTGTTATAACAAGTTACTGTTGACTCAGGTCTTATCTACCTTGGAAGAATGAGTTCTTAAATTTGAGAGATTCTGGTTTCTTATTTTTCCTTTACACAAGGCAGCATGATAAGTTATCTTATCTTTAACGAAGTTCATTCTAATTACAATTTATTAGAAAAAAATTTCTAGCTTTTCTCTCATCCACATGCTGCCTTAGGCTCAGACTCAAATTGTATAGCTTTATGCTTGGGACATCATTTCAGCTGGGAATGAGTCTTTGATGTAACATTCTATCTGGTAACGATGGATTGTCAGGTCCCAGTCTCCTTTCCCTACATCCCAATAGTTCCACCAGGCTAAGATGATGACCTTAGAAGTACTGGTCAGACATAGGAGGGCTTATGTCTTATGAGTCTGGGGATCTCCCTTATCTTCCCCCAAAATAATGCCCTAGAGATCTCAGAACCCTGAAGTAAGCAGAATTACTTTAAACACAGGACATTACCTTAAAAACTTTCCTATTCTAGAGAAAGGCCCAGTTGGCCACATGCCTAGGCATCTCCTTAAATACCTATGCTGTCTTCGGAGACTCCATGCAAATTGCATACTCACATTGCATCATTCTGCTCCCAATTCCAGAATATATAGCATATATATATATATATATGTATATGAATGAAATTCCAGGAGCAGAACAAAGGTCTGTACACAACATTTCTAAATCTGACCAACGCCTTTGATACTGTCAGTCAACAGGGCTTATGGAAAATTATGTCAAAATTTGGCCACCCAAAGTTCATTGGTATTGTACGTTAGTTTCATGACAACATGCTTACCCTTGTTCTGGATAATGGACAATGCTCTTATGCTTTCCCAGTCACCAATGGAGTTAAACAAGGCTATGTGTTTGTTGCCATGCTTTTTAGCATGATGTTTTCAGCCACGTTGTCAAATGCTTTCAATGACAAACACAGCATCAAGGTCAGCTACCGCACTGATGGTAAATTCTTCAACTTGAAAAGGCTACAAGGCAAGACCAAAGTGGAGAGAGTGTGGGTGCATGATTTTCTGTTTGCAGATGATTGTACACTCAAAACAGCCCCTGAAGCTGAGATGCAACAAAATATGGATCTATTCTCTGCTGCTTGTGCTAATTTTGGCCTAACAATTAACACCAAGAAAACATAGATGTTCCATCAGCCACTACCACACCATCCATACGTGAAACCATTGGTTACAGCAAAATGTACATATACATACATATGTTTAAATATATGTGAACATATTATGCCAATAGAATCTATTCATGTATGTGTACATGCATTGTATGCATATTATGTAGGTGTCTGAATGCAAGCTTGGAAGGCATCAGCTTGCCTCCTGGATGACCGGGCCACAAACATTCAGCTGTCCCGTAAGTTTAAGCTAGTCAACCCTCAAAGAGCCTGCACCTGAGAGAGAATTACATTTTTTCTTTTCGTTATCAACCACAACCAGACCCATCACAGGGAAGACAGAGGAATTTCCTCTCCTACCCAAAGTGAGTATACAAACACACACACACACACACACAGGCTGACTTTGTTCAAAGGAATTTTATTCCTAGAGGGTTCATTAAGGCATCATTGTATGTTGATTGTTATAACAATTATTTTTTAAAGAAACTACAGAATGAACCTTTTGTCTTTCAGAGATGAGCATGTCCTAGTTTCAGACACTTAAAATCTCTCAGTTGGAAAGAAAATCAGAGGCTAGCAACTCCTACACAGGTTGCGTGAGAATCCTTTCTATGACATACCCAACAAAGGGTCATTTAGGTTTTGCTTGATGACCCGTGATAAGGGAGAAACTGTCACCTCCTGAGACCATACATTTCGTTTTTGGATAGCTCTCACCATGAGGACATTTTTCCTTACAACCAAATCTACCTCCCTGCAATTTCAATTCATTTTCACCTCTCTGGGACCAAGCTGAACAAATCTAAGTTTTATTTCAATACTTGAAAGACAAATATGATGACCTCTCTATATCTACTCTCCTCTAAACCTCCTTATTTCCTTCTAGTGATACTCATATGACGTGAACTCAACCCTTCACCACCTCTTCTGGAAGATCTTCTGTTTATCAATTTTCTTCTTAAAAATGGGACACCCAGAACTTAATAGATGTGGCCTAAGAGTAAAGGAGAACTATCATTTCCCTTATTCTAGACAATATGATTTTCTTAAAGTAGCCAAAGTTTGTGTTAGGTTTTAGGATTTGTTTGGGTTTGGTTTTGGTTTTTGGTCACCATATCATACATTGAGCTGTAGTCCCTGATCTTTTTCAGATAACCTGCCATCTAGTCACAGCATCTCTATCTTGTATTTGTGAGATTTTACACTTATCCCTATTACATTTCATTTTATTAGATTCAGCCCAGTGTTTTAGCCTATCAAGATTTTTTTCTAATTTACAACATTCAACATGCTTGCCATCACTCTTAACTCCATATCATTGATAACTGTCTCTGTCCACTTCATTGATAAAAGTGTTAAACAGCAAAAGGCTAGGCATAAATCCCTGGAGTACCCCACAGAAGAATTTCTTCCAGTGTTTACTGAACAATTCAATAATTATTCTTTGTGTCAGGTCATTCAACCAGTTCTAAGTGCATAACTATCTAACTTGTATCTCTACAATGATTTTATTTTATTTTTATCTACAATGATAGCATGAGAGAATCTGTCAAATGCTGTGCTATAATTTCGGTAAGCTACATCTACAGGATTTCTCTACTCTACCCATCTAGGAAAGCCCTATCCAAAAAGGAAATGAGTTTGAGTATTGCTTCCTGATGAATAAATTAGTCAACAAGCATATAATAAGTACTTACTATGTACCAAGCACTAGGTTAAGCACTGGGAATACAAAGGAAAAAGGGAAACTGTCCCCATCTTTAAAGAATTTAACATCCTAAGGACAGGACACACATTGACTATATACTGTACTGACTTTAGAGGGGAGGATTCCAATAGCTGAGAAGACAGGAAAAAAATCTCCTATAGCATGTTTTGTTTGAGCTGAGTCTTAAAAGACGTCATTATTCTAAGAAATGGTGGTGAGAAGGAAAGAGAAATAAGCATTTATATAGGTCCTACTATGTGCCAAGCACAGTGCCAAGCTCTTCACAAATTTGATCTTCTCATTTGATCCTCACAACAACTCTGTGAGGTAGAGTGCTGTTATTATCCCACATTTTGCAGTTGAGGAAACTGAGGCAGATAGGTGACATGATTTGCCCAAGATCACACAGCTAGTAAAGTGATTGAGGTAGGATTTGAGCTCAGGTCTTCCTGACCCCAGACCCAGCACTCTATCCACTTCACCACGTGGCTGCCTCTAGAGCATTCTAGGCCAGGGACAGCCAGTACAAAGGCATGAGTAGATGAGGCATCATGAAGGATTCCTTTCTAGGAATAAAGATTGGACTTGTTATTTCACTGGTGTAGGGAGTTCCCAAATGAGCAAACTCACTCTATCTATGCAGGCCAACTCATTATTTCTATTTTATAGTCTTAAAGAGCTATCTAGACCACTTCAAGATTTAGTGACTTACCTAGGGTCACACAGCCCATATTTTTCAAGTCCAAGAGGTAGAGTTTGAACCCAGATCTTCCTGGTTGTGAGGCTGTCACTGTAATAAATACACTATGCGGCCTCTCCTGCCTTTCTAAGGGCCTATATACTAGCCCTTTCATAATCCGTTAAGGAATTTTACCTTGGGGTTTCTTTCTTTGCTAACCCTTTTTGTTCCAGGATTGGGTCACCAGATTAGGTTGAGGGGATGGAGAGGAAAAGCTGAGGTTGTAGGATCAAACCCAGTTGATGGGTCCCCCATGCAGGCATCACTGTGCAGCACGTGCACACATGTGTGCACCCACACATACACACGACACAATCTCTCAATTGATTCATCCCACTTCCTGACCTTCAGGCCCCCAAGTGCCCCATTTTTTCTCTCAATTGGGGTGGGTAGTAGAATGAGACTAAAAATTAATCCATTATGATTGCAGGAGGGTGCTGGTAGGATTAAATGGAAATAACACTGTCTCTGGTGTCAAAGCAATGACCCTAAACCTCAGCTCATAAAGATCTTCCCAATTTCCTCTGAAACTATTCATTTCATCATTTCTTATAGCACAATAATATTCCATTACATTTATACCATGATTTGTTTAGCCATTCCCCAATAGGAAGATGCCCTGCACTTCTTTTTTTTTTAAAAAGAACATTTCATTCTCCTTAATAACCTGAAGAGTAGAAATCTATTCTTTTACTTCCTTCTCTCAGACACCAACTTGCACTTTGTGTATATATTGGTGTTACTTAGTACTGACAGAAAGTGAAAAACGATCCTTGAAAAATTATCTTTGCCCCCATATTTGCTTGAAGAAAGATTCACAATCCGTTTTCTTCTTTGTACTAGTTCCCTTACCTAATCTTTGTGGCCATTTGCTACAACAATTTGCCCATTTTTGAAACATGAAATGGAATTTCATGAGATCTCTCCACTTCATTATTACCCCATGCTGATCTCTAGATATTTCCTCCTACTTCCGTGGAGGCCAAATTTTGTCTCTTTACATAAACCTAAATGTTTGATCGTTTCAAAAGTTAGAGAAGTCAATGCTAGAGCAAACCTTCAAGTTGCCTGATGAGAGGACTGACCCTAGACAAAATCGCCTTTCAAAGTGACCTTTTTCTAATTCATTCTCACCTTCCCTATTTAATGTCCCTTTTGCTCTCTCTTAACCAAACTCCAAAATTCCTGGTGTATTCACACCATTTCAGCGCTCTCAAAGATCAACAATATAATGTTCCACCTAAGTCTGTTCTCTTCTGGTATGTGGCCTGGAGACTCTCATCTCCCTTCTCCCTCCTGTCAAAGTTTAGGAGACCGCCTTCTATTTTCTAAGTTAGCAGCTGTTATCTGACACACTAATTCCTGCACAGGTGTTAATGAATGATTTTCATTTTAACAGAGGATTCTTCAGAAACATAATATGGGAATGAATATCCAGTGGTGCCACTTTCAACCTTGAAAGACAGTCCAGGAAGATATTTAAGAGGGCAGTGTTACTCAAATTAAACTGCATAGGTGGCTAGTTATTCTTTTTTTTTTAGGCAGTTGGGGGTTAAGTGACTTGCCCAGGGTCACATAGCTAGTAAGTGTCAAGTGTTTGGTCTGAGGTCACATTTGAACTCAGGTCCTCCTGACTCCAGGGCCAGTGCTCTATCCACTGTGCCACCTAGCTGCCCCATGGTTAATTATTCTGCCTGTCATTCAAAACTCTTTTCTCTTCTTTAGGTCTACCTATGTCCCAGTAGTAACTGTAATAATATAAGTAGGGAATAGGGGTTGGCAACCTTTCAGAAATGAGCTGCCAATGGTCCAACCTCTGCTCAAAATAAAAAAATCAAGAAACAATGGATTGAATTATCTTAAATAAAGATGACACAGGGAACAGTTGTTTTGTTTTCTTTCTTACTAGTTTTCCTAAACATGTTTTTCTAAGCATGTTAAAAATTGGCCTCCTGAGGGCTACATCAGACTGCTTGCCCATCACGTCAAAGTACATGTGCCTTTGTGCAGATTGACTATGGAATGAGATTAACAAGCCTTTGTGAAGAGAAAGAAAGATTTAGATGGTATAATACAAATATGTGTTTGCTTTAAATAAAGGCACAACTTGAGTGTGAGACCACTAGACCAGAAGATCTCCAAGACCCCTCTAAGACACCTCACTGGTGCTATAATTTGTCTGATGTGTAGGGCAGGAGGAACTTCTTCAGTTCTAAAAGGGAATAGAGGTCACCCCTTTGACTCTCATTCGGGCAATGGAGATGCAGTAAGGGTGACTTACAAACCTCAGGAGTGAAGGATCAGGACAGCAGTGACTCATCCCAGGGACATTAAAACCACCCATCTCTGACAAATGCATTTGATGCTGCTGAACCCTGGTAGAGAGACTCACGATGCTCATCATTACATAACAGAATGTCAACTCTGAATTTCTTGATCTTAATTGAAAAAAAACATACCCGATGCTAAGCTCCTGGCAGCATACTCCTCACTGAAAAAAATCCAAACACCTTTTACTCCTTTTCCCTTCTCTCATTTTCTATGTACATAATTCCCTTTCCCTGTGCTTGTCTTCTTTCCAAAGGCCCAATTATGTAGAGAACAAAAATCTTTCTCTGGAGAGAAAGGCTTGTAGGAGTAAGGTGAATGCATTCTTTTAGGGGGCCAGGTTTAGTTCTTTCAGGGCCCAGGAAGAAAGAATTCATCAAATGGTGCTCCCAAAGAGCTAATTTGCCACACTCTGCTTTCAGAGAATATAATTCTCACTCTGAGTCACTAAAGAACAGGTTTGATTTATTTCTCCTTCATTAGCCCACATCAGAAACAATTCTCAATTAGGAAAATTGTGATGCTATTGTTATTGCAGAATAACCATGGCTTGAACATGCTCAGTTTTCCACCCAAATGCCTAATTTCTGGAGTATCTGAAGTATCTCCTCCCAGTTAGGATTGTTCTTCTTCCCTTCAGAACAGGCTAGCTCTTCCTGATCTATTCTCAAATGCCTTTATCTGCTATGAGACAACTCTTTTTCCTACATACATACTGAATACCCAGTGTAGACTCATAGAATGTTAGAGCTGGAAGGAAGGAATGCTCTTAGAAAATTCAATTCAATTCAAAGCATTTATTAAATGCCAGACAGTGTGCTAGGTGGGGAGGAGGGGAAATATTAAAGTTACAAAAGTAGGAGATGGAATATCCTATGGGAACGCTAAGTTGACCACAGAATGTTAGAACTGGAAAGGACCTTAGAACATAGAATATTAGAGTTGTAAGGGATCTTATAAAATGGAATATTAGTGCTGGAAGATTGGCAGCATAGAAAGAATACTAAATTTAGAGTCAGAGGTTCAAACCCCACATCTATCAGTTATGACCTACATGATCTCGGCGAAGTCAAGTCACCATCTAGACTTCAGTGTGCTTGCCAGTAAAATGGAGTTAAACTATGTAGCCTGTAATATCCCCTCGAGCTCTAAGTCTAAGATACCATGAACATGAAACACATCAGAGCAGAAAGCACCTTAAAACAAAAAGCTGGATCTGGAAGGCATCAGCTTACAGGAGCTGGCCTCTAACGAGAGCTTTGAATATAAGGCATGGAATACTTGAGCTGGAAGGAAATTTGGAACTTAGAACCTCAGAGTTAGAAAGGCATCATCTATCTCAACTTCCAACTAATCTACAGAACAAAGTCAGTAATGAAAATAAAAAATGAGGACATATTGCAAATCTAGAGAGATTTCTCCATGTACTCTGAACAAAATAATTTAACAGAAACTGTCCAGTAGCGTTCGTTGGGGCCTGAGGCATATCATAAAGTTCTTAAAACCAAATCAAATAAACAGATACCCACTGTGAGCTGAGTCCTCCACCCTCAATAAAGTCAGGCAGTGACTTTGTTCTAGTTAGAAAGAGATTAAACTGATCAAGAAATATTTTTAGCATGTTCCCTAATTTCGTTGAGATCAGAACAAGCCATGAATTATTTCTAATGGGATATCTTCCATCCTGGTTGAGCAAGCAATCACCCACTTCATCCATCATTTCTGCTGCTGTCTTCCTGTAAGTTTCAGAGGTCTCCCAGCTAATCATTCTTTGTATTTGATATTCAAACCACTTAAATTTGACTGATAGAGTGCTTTCAAACTTTACCATCCTCCAAAAGAAATTGGCATTTAAGAAATAAATGAAGTTTCAGCTATTTACTCTGGAATAATCTGTCCTTCAGATAACACCATAATGCTCTGACTATTGAAGATAAAATAGGATTTTAAAGTAACCCTAAGATCATCTGGTCTCATTTTATAGCTGAGGAAACTGAAGAATATGGAATTCCTCCAAATATCACTGTAAATGGGACAAGGAATATGCTGGGGGGAAAAAACAGGATGCAAACCAAGAGCTCCAGTTTTTGTCCCTCCCTTTTTTTGTCTGTCCAGTACCTTTTTGAGGTTTATTTGAACTCAAAGGCAATCTGTGAAACTAATTACAAGAAGACAGGGAGATGAAAACAGGTGCAAATGTTTATTCCTCAAAAAAAAAAAAAAAAAAGACAAGAGTTGGTACTGAACATTTGTGAGACACACTACCTACCCCCTGAGGCAGGGAAAAGGTGAATAGAAATCAGTCACCCTAAATCAGCTAGGAGTAAGGGCTGGAGAAATTCCATTAAGAAAGATATGTCTACAAGTCTTACAGCTGCCTGGATGCCCTTTTGTGTACATACTAGCTGGACTGAGAGGGGTAAGCTTCCAAGCCTAATGCCAGACCAAGAAGTAACAGCAAAGTAATACCTGGACCACAGCAAGACGCTTCAGAAAAGCAGCAAAAAAGCTCAGTCAACTGCTGAGAGAGAGAACCATGAAGACTCAGGCAGGGGAAGGCCTCTGCTCACTATGTGAGGAAGAACACTGCAGCCTGTTTGTTCTTTCCCACTACCATATGAGCCTCAGGAAGATTATATTCATTAGGGAGCAGAAGTTAGAAATATTCTATTGCTTGGTTTTCCCCTATTATTTATTTTCTTTTTGTTTCCTGATATTTTTATATCTGATTTATTCCAGAGTAGTCACATGATGGGATCGCACACCATAGGTATTTCTTCCACATTGAGACGAAGGAATATATAATTTTAAAGTTGATTGGGATACCTGTGATCCATCACAGTACTCCACCAGAGAGGAAAAAATAGAAGAAAAATTAAAATAAAAGTAGCAAGGGACTTAGAATAGTAGTTCCTCTTAAGGTGATGGGAGAAATATTTGCGGTTTCAACAAAACCTATTTATAGGAGACTTTGCATTTTGAGATTCTTCAGATACTCTCTGTTTCATCCCACGCTGTCTCCAACAAGGATCCTGTTTTGTTTGTTTGTTCATTTTTTAGTTATTTCCTGTGTCTTATGACACCAAAAGCAACCAAAAATGACCAAGGGCAAGAGAACATATGATCACAATTCACTTCTTCATTCATTTAGTCAATATGTATTGTCTCTTAATGTATTAAGTGCCTACTATGTACAGCGCACAGGAGATAGAAACTGAAGACCTGAAATGAACATCTGACTAATTGGGGGGTGGGAGGAGAATATTTTCTACTAAATTTTCTAGATAGTTGACCCACAGAATCTGTCCTCAGTCAAGAAGTGCTGGCCTTAAATCCCTACTCCAACACATATTAGGTGGGTCATCTTGGTAAAGTAACTTAATCACTCAGTGCCCCCCAGCAATTCTCCAATTGTCCATCTGCTCTGTATTGATAAAAGTTTCCTTGTTGGGGCACCCTGCACATCTATTCAAAAAAGTACCTACCTCAAAGAGTTGTTGTGAGGGTCAAATGTGATAATATATATGAAACACTTCTCTAACCCTTGAAACGCTAGTGCTCATGAGTATTACTACTGTTGTTCTCATCATTGTGTCTGTTTCCTACTCTAATCCCAGCCTGAAGTACAATCAGCTGAAAGTCTCAGTTGTCCTTTGTCACCTGACTATGGACACTTGGTCACTAAATCCAAGACTGGTGCCATTACTACACTTCTTTCTTCCCTTTCACTCTGACATTTTTTTTCTCTAAAATTGGTGCATAGCTAGAGGAGCACATGCAATGAGGAATGATTAAATCTGATAGATGTTCTAGAGGAAGATGTGACAGGATTCAACGAATAACTACTTGGTCATACAGGTTGAAGGAGAAACTAGAGTCAAATAAAACTACAACGTTGGAGGCCTAAGGCACCAGGTAGAGGTTGGCAATGACAGCCAAGGACTAGCTGTCAGAAAACTTGAGTCCCTGTCTCAGCTTTGCCAAAAACTAGTTTGTGTATGTAGAAAAGTCATGTTACTTGACTTCATATGTATAATAGATATCATACTGCTTGCCTTCTCAACAGGTGGGGGAGAAAGAAAATTCGGAACTCAAAAAAAAGTTTAAAAATAAATAAACATTAATAAATAAAATTAGTAGTATATAAATTATATTATATAAAATTACATAAATAAAAATAAAAACTTAATAAAATAAATAAACATAAAAAGAAAGAAATGTCATGTTACTTCTTTGGGACTCTGCTTCCTCATCTATAAAAAGGAAAAGGATGGAGAATTAGGTGATCTGAAAGTTCCTTCCAATTCTAAAGTTCTTTTTTTTTTTTTAAAGAAATGTTGCTTTGCAGATGTCACTGTGACAGCCATGTAGAGATGTCCTGCTGGCAGTCTGAGTCTAAGGGAGGGAAAAGTAGAGATGATATCAGAGCCAAAGATACTTTCTTGAATCCCTTCATTTTCCTACACTTTAAACAGACTTTGGATGTTGCTCTCACAATAGACATTTGGCAGTGTAGTAAATTCATAAAGATGGTGCCAAATAGAATTTACAGTCCTATTTGCACAGTGCACAAAATAATGTTTCAATCCTCTTGTGATAGGCATGTGTGATAGGCACTCATGAAAGATTCCTGCCCCAAAGCATCATTTATTTTTAAAGAAAAGGAAATATTTTAGAGTAACCCACTCAAAGGTAAGGAATTTGATGTGCTTATTTCCCTCTAATTCACAGGTATCTATTTTCTGTCAGCTGGGGTTTTCTAATAACATTCCCACAACCTCTTCTCTTATCTTATGTGCCTAGTGCATTGTTTCTGCCTCAAATTACTCTTTTTTTTTCCCTCCTGCTGAGCTATTTCTTCTTTACTGAAAATATTGTTTGGAGCTATTTCCCACCTTTCCAGCTTTGTTTCTTAAAGATAGACAGCTTGTAATATGACGTAATGGAAAAAAACCCCAGACTTCAATTCAGAAGAGCTGGTTTCTATACAGGCAAATTCCCCATCGGAGCCTCAATTTCATCATTTCTAAAACAAGGCTAAAAATACAGTACCTACCTCATTTGTTTGACTCGAAGCAGGAAAAATGTACATTTCTTGAAGGCAGGGATTGGCTTGTTTTGGTCCTTATGTCTCCAGTGCTTAACACAGTGCCTGGCACATAGTAGGGGCTTAAATGTTTGCTAAATTTAATTGAATTGTAAGAGTCAAATGAGATGACGTATATGAAAGCTTTCAAAAGTATACAGTATCGCTACTTCGTTTTGGTCTGCAAAAACAAACAAAAAAAAGTGCTAACAATGCTCTTGTCTTAATGCCCCATAGCTCAGATAAAGATCAGAGAGTTAGGAGGCAGGGGTAGGGAAAGTAACACTTGTCTTAATGTCCTCTTTTGTTAAATCCCAAAGTGAGACCTGGACATTTCCAAAAGTTGACACTAAATATTCACTTTTATAGGAAGTGGTTGGCATAGCAGAGGAAAAAGAGACAAGGAAATTGGATTCTGTTTCCAGATAGGCCACTAACAATCTGCCTTACTTTACTCAAGTGGTACAGTGCAGACAGTGCTAGGCCAGGAATCAGGAGCAGCTGAGTTCAAATCTCACCTAAGATACCTAACTAGCTGTGTGACCCTGTGCAAAAGACTTTCCTTGTCTCTCATACATGCATACACACACACACACACACACACACACACACACACACTCCTCCATGTTTTCCCCTTCTTTGTGATTCTTGTCTGTGTCCTTCTATAGCTATCAATAGAGAGACCTTTCTGTGGTTCTTTCAATGTTATTCAGAAGTAGCACTCAGGCAATACAATCCATTATCCCTCCTTCTGTGACCAACCTATTTCCTTTTTCCAGTGTGATGCTGCTTATGTTATTTCTTGAATGCCAGCCATGATTAGTAAAATGCTATAATAGACTAATGCCTCTTACCCCGCATCTTTCACTGGACTTAGGAGTCAAAGGAAATGAGGGACATAGACCAACCTGTGTGACCTCGGACAAATCACTGCCCCTCTCTGGGCCTCAGTGTTTCCTTCTTTACAAATGAGAGGGTTGCATTACATGGTGTCTGAAGACCCTTCCAGCTCTAAGTCTATGACCCATTGGCAATAGTAATACACACACACACACACACACACGTTCACCATCAATGGCAAGTAGAGGGTCATTTCATCACAAGGGCTCACTTGATTCAAAGCGCAGCAACTGGTAAACTGCAGCGGAGCGGACGTGAGAGCTTTTTAAATTGGATGATAGAATTCATCTCTCTGCTCATCCTGCAGTGATTTTGCGGCACTTCTGCTGGTCGTTGGGATGCAGGAAGTGTACTGCTTCTGCAGGGAGACCTTCAGCTGTTGGGACTCACTGCATGACAACAGGCCTTCAGGAGAATATGGCCTGTATTGTAATTTTCTAGCAGCTTACATGATTGGGAAAACCGAGCAGATGGGAAGCAGTTTAGGGTGGAACAGGAAAGCTGCTAGGTTTCATCTGCAGACAAAACTGTTATTTCTGAGCAGGTATTCTCAAAAGGAGATAAATATCTGGTTTGCTCTGCTGTTAGCTTTACAGAGTTTCCCTTAGTTCTACCTACTTTTTTTTTTAAATGGCTACAAGAATGCTATTTTTTTGCTCATTTAAGTTAGAGGCATTGGTTCATGCTGCTGCATATTTAAACTTGCCATTAGTTTCTAAACCATTATTAACCTATAGTTTCCAGCCCTGAAAATTGGGTTGCAAAATAAGTGGCTTCTGGTTCATCTCTTATTTAAAATATTTCTGTGCCCTATCACTCAAAGTCAAGGCTGAGCTTGTTTATGGGAGGACTTGATTACATAATTACATATTAGGAAACATTTCTAAGTAGAATTGATTAGTGCGCTTTGCAGCAAAGGGGTTCACCAAAAATAACCCCTTTCACTTGCTGTCAAATCAGAGCATCACTATGGAAATTGAATAACATTTTCAGAAGTTTGTCATTGAATCTCCCATTTCATCAATATAAAGAGGAGAAATTATCTCTAACACAAGAAAGTGCTATCTCTAAACCCTGTGAAAAGAGAATTGTGTATTATGAACACCAGAGATCCATAAATCAAGCAGTAGACAACTAAAGTAGAATGCTATCTAAGGCAGGGCAGGTCAGGCTTTGGCCCAGGACATAATAATTTAAAGGATACAAAATTTAATACATGCATTCCTTTAAGAGAAACAATTAAGGATAGCACATTTGACTCTTTTCCTTCACATTAAGCCTTGCACCCTCTCCCACATATATATCCAACCTGTTCCAAAGTACCTTCAATTCTATCCAGAAAATATCTCTCATATCTCTTCTTTCCTTTGCATTCCCTCTGCAAAAACTCTAGTTCAGGGTCTTATTGCCACTTACTTGGACTATTATAGTAGCATACTAATTCATCTATCTCCAGTAACAAGCCCTCTCCAAGTCATTATTCATGTGAGTGCTTCCTTAATCTTTGCATTAATCGTTAATTATTAATTAATTAAGTTAATTAATTAATCATTCCTTAATCATTGCACCACCATGTCGATGTGTACTCCTCTGCTGAAAAACCCTCATTGGCTCCCAATTGCCTGCCAAATAAAGTACAAACAACTTATCTTGTTATTTAAGTCCCTCCATAAAATAACTCCAACTTACCTTTCTAGTTTTATCTCACTTTTCTACCCTTTACCTAATCCTGCATTCCAGCCAAACTGGACTACTCACCATCCCTCAGTTTTTGTCCTGCCTTCTCCCCTCTTTTAGTATTTTCTCCCATTGTCCTCCATATCTGGAATGGATTTCTCCCTTGCCCTCCTCTCACTGAAATTCCTTCTTTGAAATCCCAATCAGGCACCACCTTCTCCATGAAGCCTGTCTTGTTCCCTCCACATTGAAATGATCTCTCCTCCCTCATCTTCTTATAGAAGTTATTTCAATGTCTCATTTGAACTGGTAATAAACTGTTCTATAATGCCTCGTAATACAAACATCTGTGTGCCTGTGTACAAAAATTTTAGCTCCCCTATGGCACTATACACACAGACTCCTAGAGAGTGCCTTACTTCAACTTCATATGTCCCAAGATTCCTACCTAAATACCTTGCATGTAATAATAGCAACAACAATAATTCCTATCTGTATACTTCCTTAAACATTATAAGGCTGGTTTAAAAAAATAATGAATTGAATTCCTTTCTTACAGGCCCCTAGCTCCCACTACTCTATCATTACCTCACCATCAGAATATCCCATTTTCACAGTCTCTTCACCCTCTCTGACTGTACCCCTGGTCTACAGGTTATCTGCTATTTCAGACTGCTATACTTACCAAAGGGCTGGGTATTGTTGTTCCTCCTTAACCTTCCAGAGGGGTGGACCTAAAGCCAAGGGTCTTTCATGGCAGACACTGACACCTCCTGAAATGAGAAGAAAGGAAAGGCTAAGGCCAGAAGTTCCAACTAAGGAAGAGGCTGGGAGCTTGGGTGATACAGAAACAAGTGTTGTTTACCTGAGTCATAAGCTAAAGGGCTAGAGGAGGGAAAGAAGAGTCCAGATTAGAAGTATGTGTCATAATCAGTGCAGAGAACAGGCATAAAGAAATAGTCCAAATCAATTAAAGCAGAAGGTCTGGTACCAAGAAAAGGGGTCTAATGTGGAGCTTATAATATTGTTCAAAGTAATATGAGCAACTTCAGGTCCTGCTGCAGTGTCCCTGTTTTTATGCCATGCCTCCATCACGCCCTCCTCCACTTCTCCTGAAGGAGTTTCAATTGTGCTGCAAACTAGCATGAAGACAACCTTATGCTGAAGGGAAACAGCGATGTCTAAGCAAAACAGGACACATTGGTGACCTGGCAGATAGATGAATGAACTTGCAGACCCGAAGGATGCTTTGACTTAACAAAGCTATAGAAGATGTTGAATGCTAGCCTATTCTACTTGAAAGCCACTGTGAGGCTAGGCTCTGTGAGAGATAGAAAAGCAGGGGAGCCCTTGTTCCTTGATAAATTACAATCTTGCTGGGGAAAGAATTCAATTAAATTGAACAAACCTTTATTAAGCACCTATTATGTGTAGGGCACTATGGATATGCAAAAATAAAAATTAAATAGGCCCTTCCCTCAAGACACATTTTCCTGGGGATGTAACACATACACAGATAAGTAATACAAAACCATCTCAAGAGCTAGACATCATTACTAACTGGGGGAGACCAGGAAGGGCCTTGAGTACAGGTAGCACCCAAACTGCTTTTTAAGAGGCAGAGATAAGGAGTATATTTCAGACATAGGTCACAGCACAGAGGCAGATGATGGGATGGGTGTATGGGTAACAGCTAATGGGCAAGTTTGAATGGAATAGAAAATGCAGGAAGGAGCTTAGAATAATATGAAATAAGACTAAACAGTAGGTTGGAGCCAAACTGAGGGGAGCTTCACATGATTCCATACTCCCAAGCAAATATAATTTATCTTCATCTCTCAGGAAAGTTTTGCTCAGCTGCTGGGTTCTCACTATACACTAGTGCCTAACCCCATTGATCATAGATGGTAGGTCTTTTTTTAAGTTGTCCAAGGATTAGGTGAGTCATCTCTTTCAACCTTTCTTGTATTTTTAACTTTCAGATATCATTAATATTCAAGATAACACGACTATAAACATGATCAACAGCCTCTAACAGATACAGACTTTCTTGCATCACACTCTTACATGCGCTTCTATAACCCTGCTGAAGGATGAGCGGGACTTGACCCCCACCGAGATGCCCTCAGGCTCTAAGATTCTCCCATGTTACTTTAATTGCTCTTCGGAGCTATGAGTGACAGTGAGTCAAGGCAATAGTGTGAGCCATTCATATTAAAGTACCTACTACACTACGTTCCAGGCACAGTGCTAAGCAATATAAATACATTCCCTGTCCTCAAAGCTTACAATCTAATAGGGAAAGACAACACACAGAAGAAAGCTGAAAAGGAGGGAGGATGAGGGGGGAAAGGGGAGAGGGACCCAGCATAGGAGCATGACGGAGAAGTACAACCAGGTGGGGAACAAAGAGACGGTTGGTCTGGACACCCTCCTTAAAGGGAAGTTCTGGGAGGAGCTCTCCTCTCTACCTTCCTTTCAGAGGGCTATCAGGGGCAGAAGGCACGGATGAGGTGTGAGTACCAAGGTGGTTGTGACTTCCAGGATAATGAGGTTCCTCAGGGCATGGTAGAGCAGTCGAAAGGAGTGTTGGAGGGGTTGTGGGAAGACAAGAACATAAGTGCATTATTGGTAAAGCTGTTGTGTGGGACAGTGAGGACCCTTACCCAAATCCATTCAGAGGCTTCTCCAGGTAGAAAGTAGAAAAGATTTTATTCTGATCTTGCGAGAAAGGTAGTTTGCTGCAAGACTTTGGGTGGTGTCGGCCAAGCAAGCATTTTTATAGGTTCTAACCGCAACTCCTCCTTAGCGCCTACCTCTTATCCCATTGGCTGGGCTTCAGAGGGCACAATCTAAACGCGGCAAAACTACTCCAGCAACAGCAGTGGAAATTACAGAATCGTTACATTGTTTGCACCTGCATTCCCCTCCTTCAAGTATCCTCTTGGTACATCCTGTTTGTTCATTTCAGTTCCTGGAACAATTTGCAGTTATACTTGTCTTTGTAACAATTTGAACATATTTATCCGGGCTATTTACAAGTTTACTGACCTGGATACACATATATTATTATTAGGGGTCTTTACCTTATTTTACTCATTTAAGTTTAGATTTTATGAGAGGTCTTCACCAATCTCACTCACTGTGAATCAGTTCAATTGTTTTTAAAAGCAATTTAGAATTATACAAATAAAGTGACTAAAATGTCCATACCCTTTGACTCAGAGATTCCATACTAGAGTTATATCGCAGAAGAAAATGTCCATATACACCAAAATATTTACAGCAGCACTTTTGTGACAGAAAAGAATCGGAAACAAAGGCATTGTTCATTGACTGGAGAATGGCTAAATAAATTGTGGTACATGAACATAATGGAATATTAGCAGACTTAAGAAAGGACTAATATGATGAATACTACAGAGAAACATGAGAAGATTTGTATAAACTGTTGCAGAGTAAAGTAAGGACAGCCAAGAAAACAATATACACAATGAGTACAATAAGGTTAATGGAAAGAACCATCACACACACACACACACACACACACGCTCAAAAGTGATTGTTGAGGCAGCTAGGTGGCGTAGTGGATAGAGCACCTGCCCTGGAGTCAGGAGGACCTAAGTTCAAATCCTGCCTCAGACACAACACTCACTAGCTATGTGACTCTGGGCAAATCACTTAACCCTATTGCCTAGCAAAAAAAAACAAAACAAAAAGCGATTGTTTCAAATTTCCAATGAACAAGCATGGCTCCAAAGAAGAGATTTAAAAAGATAACCTATCCCACACAGCCCACAAGTGTGATATGTTAAGCACATTTTTAGACATTTTTGTTGTATTAATTTTGCTGAATCTTCCTCTGTTTTCCTTTTTATCTTTAACAAGTATTATTTCTTACATGAGATAGCTCTTTAGGAGGGAGTATGGGAGGGATATTGGGGAAAATATTGGTGATATAAAAAAAGACAAAAATTATTTTCAAAAAACAAGCGGTATGAAATGGAGATCCACGGTATTCATAGATTCATAGTCTTTGTGTTCAGATAGCTGTACATAAGTGCTATTTTGTGGTATTTAATTTCAGATTTAAAAATTTTTTAAAAGGAGAGGAGAAAATATTCTGGTCAAGGCATTTTCCCAAAATTACTATTATTTTTCATAAATATAAAAGAAAGAACACTGGATATAATGAGTCATCTGCCGGTTCAAATTCCAGCAGAGCTTACTAATTAATAAGATGACTTTGGACAAGTCATTTCATTTCTATGAATCTTAGTTTGCTCATCTCTAAAAGGAGGTTATGCTATATCAGAGTCTTGCCAGAACAACCAAATAAGATCATGCATAGTAAAGTGCTCTGTAAATTATAAAATAATTTACCTATATGAATTATTATAATTAAACTGGAAAGGGTTTTGAAAAGCAGGTATACCGAACAGTGTCATAAATGGCACCCTATCCACAAGTAACTTGAAGTTGACAAATAAAGGAAATTACCATCACTGATCCAACATCAATTTTAGCTCGTACCTGAATGAGTTGAATGCGGCCCAAGGCAGGATGACAACATGTACCTTTTTTTTCCCTTTCAAACATCCACAAAAAGCAAAATGCTGATGTCTTTCAAGCACCGTTGATTCTACTCTTCTTCCTTACACAGATAACACTTTTGATAACACTTTTTCTGGCAAGATTCCCATCTTTATTCTTAAGATGCAATAGATTTTTTCCAATGGGGGTGGAATTGCCACTGCCTTCAGTTTGAAGCTCTCAAGCTAGTACTGTGAAGTGTTGGGAGAGTTTAGTATCTAAATGTAATCAGCTCAAGGAGACTCAGGAGTTTGAGGCTTGGGTTCGGGTTTTTTTGGGGAGGGGTGTTTTTGGGTTTGGTTTTTTTGGCCAAACAGAACTACCATTCCACATACTGTCAGATGAAATCTTTCATGTCACTTCTAATAGTGCTTGTCTCAAAAACATATTGGTGCAGCTGACAAAAGGGAATTGAATTATTCAAGCTTTCTATTGAAATTCAAAGACAAACCCTTCCCAAGTTACTCATTACTATTTTTGTATCTTCTAAGAGGCAGCCCTGGAATAGTGAATAGAGAACACTCCTTAAAACCAGAAAGATCTGGGTTCAAGTCTTACCTCAGAGCCATACTGGCTGTGTCACCCTAGGTAAATCACTTAACCCCTCAAATCTCTAAATATTTCTCTAAGATGAGGATTCTTCATCTTTTTGTGGTATTGGCCCCTTTTGAAGTCTCGTAACGCCTATGGACACTCCCTCAAAATAATGTTTTTGGTTTGTTTTGTTAATAATAATTGAAAGAAATGCTAAATTTCAGTTAAAAGTTAGCAAAAATAAAGATGTATTTTTTTCCTATCCAAGTTCACAGACCCTCTAGAAATCCATGAACCTGCCTTAGCTCAAGAACCCCTACCCTAAGATTATAAATTATAAAGAAGGTACTGACTAGCCTTTGTTGAAAGACTTTCCTCATCTAGGAACTTCAAAGGTTCAACTCCTAGACCTATCAGCAGCAGGTCTGGAGTTGGGAAGACTCATCTTCCTGAGTTCAAATCTGGCCTCAGACACTTACTAGTTGTGTGACCCCGGGCAAGTCACTTAACCCTGGTTACCTCAGTTTCCTCATCTGTAAAATGAGCTGGAGAAGGAAATGGCAAACCACTCCAGTATCTCTGCCAAGAAAACCTCAAATGGGATCACAAAAAGTCGAACACAACTGAAAACAACAACAAAGTGGAT